CCACCGTGTATGGAGTGAATGAATAATGACACATGTGAAGCGTCTTTGAGTGTCCAGAAAAGCGCTATATAAAACCGATGCATTATTATTATTATTATTAGACTTACTAAATGCAAATAACCATAAACATACAGAAGAATTCATTGACACAATATTCAGTATGAACCTGTTTCCGTTGATCACTAGACCAACAAGAATAACAACACACAGTGCTACCCTGATCGACAACATCTTTTCCAACGTTCTAGACGACAAATTAATGAGTGGCTTATTATTGAGCGACACTAGTGACCATCTCCCCATCTTTATGGTGTGTAACTTAAACCTCAACATGATACAGCAAAGAAATGAATGTAGATTTGGCCGGCTAATAACCGAGCAGTCAATTATAAACTTTTGAAATGATTTGTCTGCTCAAAGTTGGGAAAAGGTATTCGAACAGTCTGATCTAGACACAGCTTACAATGCCTTTCTAGAAATAATCACTGCCTTGTATGACAATAATTGTCCAGTAAAAAAGTACAAACAAAAACAGGAAACCGGAAAACCATGGATAACGAAGGGACTATTGAATGCCTGCAAAAAGAAAAATCATTTGTATGAAGTATTTATTGTGAACAGAACTGTTGAGGCAGAAGTAAGATACAAAAGATATAAAAAATAAACTAACCAGCATCATGAGGAGAAGTGAAAAAGATTATTACACAAAACAACTTGAGAGTAATAGAAACAATACTCGAGGAATGTGGAAAGTCCTAAATAGTGTCATTAGGAGCAGCCCAGATAGTAGCTATTATCCTGAATATTTTGTGGACAATAACACGGTCATTACGGATAAAAGGGAAATTGTGGATAAACTTAATACATTTTTTGTAGAGGTTGGTCCCACTTTGGCCCAAAAAATCCCGACTTGCAGCGAGCCCCTGGACATTTCAACTGAAAAGAACCCAGATTCAATGTTTCTCACTCCTGTCAATGAAATGGAGGTCCTGGATACAATCACAAAATGCAGTGATAAAACATCTATGGATGTGCATGACATAAACATGAGAACAGTTCGGAGTGTGGCAAATGAAATTTTACAACCATTTACCTTCATTTGTAACCTGTCATTTCAATGTGGACAATTCCCAACCAGGGCGGCAGTAGCTCAGTTGGTAGAGCGTTGGCCTTTGAGCCAGAAGTTCGTGGGTTCAAGCCCCGCTCAGGACTTTCACCATCGACTCCCACTGATTACTGTCGTTGTGTCCTTGGCAAGACACTTAACCTCTGGGAACACCAGCCACAGTGGGGCGGCTGCGGCTGTAAAGTGCCAAACTGCCGTTGTGTCCTTAGGCAAGACACTTCACCCCCATTGCCTAGAATGAGTCTGGTGTGTGTGTGTGTGAATGGTTGGTGGTGGTCGGAGGGGCCGATGGCACATACTGGTTGCCTCGCTTCTGTCAGTGTGCCCCAGGGCAGCTGTGGCTACTGTAGTAGTTTATCACCACCGTGTATGGAGTGAATGAATAATGACACATGTGAAGCGTCTTTGAGTGTCCAAAAAAGCGCTATATAAAACCGATGCATTATTATTATTATTAACCAAAATGAAAGTAGCTAAAGTCATCCCACTATTCAAAGCTGGGGATAAAAATTGTTTTACCAACTACAGGCCTGTCTCCCTGTTGCCACAGTTCTCCAAGATCTTGGAAAAATTATTTAATTCAAGACTGCAACATTTTATTGATAAACATAATTTGTTATCCAATTCTCAATATGGTTTTAGACGTAACAGTTCAACTTCACTTGCTCTTATTGATCTTATAGAAGGAATAACCAACTGCATTGAAAAAAAGGAATTCGTCATTGGAATTTATGTTGATTTACAGAAGGCATTCGATACTATTGATCATGACATCTTGTTACAGAAACTTGAGAACGGTGGCATCAGGGGGATAGCGCTAACATGGTTGCAGAGTTATTTGAAGCATAGACAGCAATTTGTACAACTTGACCAAAGTAAATCCAGTTATCTGTACATCACATGTGGGGTTCCACAAGGGTCGATTTTGGGGCCCACACTCTTTCTACTGTACATTAATTAATTCTGTAAATTATCCAAATGCATGAAGTGTGTACTCTTCGCAGATGATACAAATATCATTTTGTCTGGGGAGAATTTGGAGCAACTCTTGGACGAAGTAACTACTGAATTAAAAACAATTAAAAACTGGTTCCATTCAAATAAACTATCATTAAATCTAAAAAAAACTAAAGTAATGTTATTTGGAAAGAGAAAATTGGATAAAACTGTTAACATATTTATTGATGATGTTCAAATTGAAAGGGTCCAGCAAAATTTGTTCCTGGGGGTGATGCTGGACGAAAATATTTCCTGGAAACCCCATATTAGTTGTTTACGTTCAAAAGTTGCCAAGTGTGTTCGTGTCATCAAGAAATGTAGTTGTGTACTAAATGTAAAAGCACTGCAAATATTGTATCACTCACTTGTAATGTCACATTTGAATTATTGTATTGAAGTTTGGGGAAATTGTTATAAAACAAACCTATTGCCTTTGATTACACTCCAGAAAAGAGCACTTAGGATCGTTCACAAAGTCCCTTACAATGAGCACACAAACCAGCTTTTTATTAATAACAGTGATTTAAAATTAGAGGACTTGGTCAATTATAAAACTGCACAAGTTATGTTCAAGGTATCAAAACACTCTCTTCCAGCAAACATCCAAAATCTTTTTCGTGATAGAGACACTCAGCTCCAAGTGAATTTGAGAAGAGTCCATAGATTATACCAACCACGAGTCAGAACAACACTCAAGTCTATGTGTATTTCTGTGAGAGGAGTGAGTTTGTGGAATGGACTCACTGAGGACTTAAAAAACTGTTTAAATTTGACCCAGTTCAAACGACATTTTAAAAGCCTTGTGATGGAAAAGTACCTGGGTGAGAGAACATGATACCTTTATGTAATTGTAATTGTGATAGTAGGAGAGGGGTGTGGGGTTGGTGAGTATTGGGCCTGTGTGTTTGTTGTGTTGTGTTGAATATTGAATATCTGGTGTTGTAATTATTTGTGTAAATGATTTGTCTGCAAGTGGAGTGTGTGGGGGGGTGGTTTTGAATAAGCGTAAGCTTCCATCATCCCCCTTTCAAACCAAGCAGACCTTGTATTTTGTTTTTCCTGTTTGTATACACCTGCAGGTTTGAAATAAATGAAATGAAATGAGATTGAGACGAACTGATTCTTTTTGACTGTTCTGAGACATGACACCGATTCTTCATAACTTCTCGAGCCCATGTTTTGCGTCTCTTCTCTCCAAACCCTCTTGTTTTTCCGTTTTCCACAGACACGGCGCCGGCAGCGGTGACTCTGTGTGGAATCGTTTCGTCCAATCAAAGGCCGGCAGAAAGAGCGGCGCGATGGAAACGGACGGTTCCAGCTTTGAATAAATGAGGGAAAGAAAACAGGTCACAACAACAACCCGGCTCTGTCCTCGCTCTTCTGCCGAGGAACTGTCTGGATATTTGTGTTTGTGAGACGTCTGCGAGAGCTGCAGACCAGAACAAAATGGTCTCGTTATGTCGGAAAAGAAGAAGAACGGTTTAAATATGATGCTTGTTTATGAGAAGAAGGTCATGGACTACACACAAGTCTCTGTGGTCTATGGTCTCTCTATGATATCTCTCTCTTGTCTCTCTCTGGTCTTTATCTGGTCTCTCTCTGGCCCCTCTCAGGCCTCTCTCTGGTCTCTCTCTGGTCTCTCTCTCTGGTCTCTCTCTAGCCCCTCTCTGGCCTCTCCCTGGTCTCTCCCTGGTCTCTCTGGCCTCTCTCTGGTCTCTCTCTCTGCTCGCTGGGTCTCTCTCTCTGGTCTCTCTCTGGTCTTTATCTGGTGTCTCTCTCTCAGGTCTCTTTCTGGTCCATCATTGGTCTCTCTCTGGTCTCTGTCTGGCCTCCCTGGTCTCTCTCTGGTCTCTCTCTGGCCCCTCTCAGGCCTCTTTCTGGTCTGTCTATGGCCTCTCTCTGATCTCTCACTCTGGTCTCTCTCTCTGGTCTCTCTCTGGCCCCTCTCTGGCCTCTCCCTGGTCTCTCTGGCCTCTCTCTGGTCTCTCTCTCTGCTCTCTGGATCTCTCTCTCTGGTCTCTCTCTGGCCCATCTCAGGCCTCTCCCTGGTCTCTCTCCCTGGTCTCCCTGGCCTCTCTGGTCTCTCTCTGGCCTCTCTCTGGTCTCTCTCTCTGCTCTCTGGGTCCCTCTCTCTGGCCTCTCTGGTCTCTCTCTGGCCTCTCTCAGGTCTCTCTGGTCTCTCTCTCTGCTCTCTGGGTCCCTCTCTCTGGTATCCCTGGCCTCTCTGGCCTCTCTGGTCTCTCTCTGGTCTCTCTCTGGCCTCTCTCTGGCCTCTCTCTGGCCTCTCTCTGGTCTCTCTCTGGTCTCTCTCTGGTCTCTCTCTGGCCTCTCTCTGGCCTCTCTCTGGTCTCTCTCTGGCCTCTCTCTGGATCTCTCTCTCTGGTCTCTCTCTGGCCCATCTCAGGCCTCTCCCTGGTCTCTCTCCCTGGTCTCCCTGGCCTCTCTGGCCTCTCTGGTCTCTCTCTGGTCTCTCTCTGGTCTCTCTCTGGTCTCTCTCTGGCCTCTCTCTGGCCTCTCTCTGGTCTCTCTGTGGTCTCTCTCTGGTCTCTCTCTGGTCTCTCTCTGGCCTCTCTCTGGTCTCTCTCTGGTCTCTCTCTGGCCTCTCTCTGGCCTCTCTCTGGCCTCTCTCTGGTCTCTCTCCCTGGTCTCTCTCTGGCCTCTCTCCATGGTGTATGAACTGTGCTATATAAATAATCTTTCCTTGGCCAGATCTAAGCGCTCCATCTTTAGACAACACTCCTGTATTTTAGGATTGGAAAACCCTCAAAGATCCAGGTTTTTGCTCTAATCCCAGTCTTTTGCTTTGTTCTGTCACATTGAAATGACTCAAACTCCTGCTGTTCTTAAAATTACATATATAAATCCCGTGGTTTACCGGCTTTGGGCTCGTCTGCTCGCGGCGCTACCGTGTTTACCTGCGCCGGGAAAACAACTCTTTTACTTATTTTTATTTTCTGTCTCCGAAACAGCCGTAGTGTGTCTCCGCCGGGTCGTTCGGAGGGAGCTGCCGTGATCAAAGAGGGGTCTGGACCCGGCACCATTTCACCGAGAGTCACGAGGAAAATAAATACATAGACATTTTAAAAAGTGGACACGAAGAAAGAGCCAGAAGTGACTTTTGAAAGTTTTAAACGTGTCACAGTTTTATATTTATTTATTATGAGATTTTATACTTGTTTCATTGAGGCTAGAGTTAGAGATGTTGTTTTATTATAATTATCATAGAGCTATTATTCATTTCTCTTGTGCTGTGTGCTTCTCATTCCTACTGTCCTATTACAACATTGAGATTACAGGAACCCCTCTAATCTTAATCTTAATCTAATTCGACAAGTGATCACAGATTGAATGACTAAATTCGACTGAATCTGATCAATACTGAAGTAAAAATCAAGGCAGTAGGATCTTTGGTCTCTTTTTTTCTGGTCCCTCTCTTGTCTTTCTGGTCTCTCTCTGGTCTGTTTCTGGTCCCTCTCTTGTCTTTCTGGTCTCTCTCTGGTCTGTTTCTGGTCTCTCTCTTGTATCTCTCTGGTCTCTCTCTTGTCTTTCTGGTCTCTCTCTAGTCTCAGACCGTTCCATGCTATTTTCACCATTAAAAAACCAAGATCCCTGTGAGTCACTATTTGCATCTTTGGGCTGAGAGCTGATTGGCTGAGAGAGGGTGGTCCGTTATTGTGAAAAGTAGAGATAGAGGAAAACTGTTTTGAGAACATGGACTGTATACATTTTTCTATATTTGTGATTTCAAATTTAGGTTCCCCAGCTTTAAATGGTTTACATCACACTTTCAAAACACATCTTTTCTAAACACACACACACACGCTAACGCACACACACACACACACACATACACACACACACACACACACAGGCCCATGTTATAAAACACAGTGGGATCACGCAGGTCCAAATGAGAATAAATAATCCATGATATTTGCATTTGGGGCAAACACGACGGAGGGTCTTCAAAGCCACGGTCCCTCGGCGCTCACGGCCCCAAACAAAGAGAATCCGTAACGTGTGTCGAGGGGACGGGGCCTTTACAAAGACCGTGGCGTGTCGAGCGAAGGCCGCGGGAAAAGAGCAGATTCATTATTGATCAGATTTCAGCCTGACGCGAAACAGAGGCTCGTGTCAGCGGCATTTACCTCATGACATGTGCCCACAGCTGCCCTGAGGCACACTGACAGAAGAGAGGCAACCAGTCTGTGCCATCAGCCCCTCCCACCACCACCAACCATTCACACACACACCAGACTCATTCTAATGGGGTAAAGTGTCTTGCCTAAGGACACAACCACAGTTTGGCACTTTACAGCCGCCCCACTGTGGCACCTGGTGTTCCCAGAGGTTTCCCATCAGAGCACTAACCAGGCCCTGTCCTGCTTAGCTTTAGAGGTCTGACAAGATCTGGCTTTCACCTGCTGTCCAGGGTCTACAGCCTCAGTCCTGGGTCTACAGCCTCAGTCCTGGTTACAATGTATTTTTTATCCGGACCTCGAGTCGGTAATAAAGTTTAATAACAATAATAATAATAATAATAATTAAAGCCGCAAGCGGCATCTAACGGCCCTCGCCGCACCACGCAAAGGAGGTGGCGCTGACGCGCCATTTTCCCACTGCCCCGACGGGAGCGACACTGTGCATTTTGAATTCCTATGATCAGTGATTGTGTGTCTCTATTTAAAAGGTAAACTTAATTCTCCCCATGTAACACTTGTATCAGTCTGTAGGGGGCGCTAATGCGGCTATTTCATGATTCATACGTTCAGTTTACTCAAACCCAAGAGTTAAACAGTCAATTCAAATTTTGTGCAAATCGGACTTTGTATGTGCAAACGGAAGGCATTTATGTTGTAAAATAGCTCCCCCTACAATTTAAATTTTTTAGTCTTATACCAAAGAACACCAAAATAATACACTTAATTCCTGAAAAAAAATTGTGGCAAAGTTTGGTGAGTTTTCGTGTTTGTTCAGTGGGTCAAATATGAGATCAAACAACAGAAAACCTAAATACCTTTATCCCCATGTAAACCTTTACTCAGCCTGTAGGGGGCGCTAATGGGCCAAGGTCATTGTTCACACTGTCATGTGACCTAGGCCCAGGAGTTGAACAACCGAGTCAAGTTTAGTGCAAATCAGAGTTTGTGAATGTGTTCCTGTTTACACATACAATCTGTGAGTGTGTCCATACAGTCTCCATTGGATAACATGGGAACTTCACACCTCTCTATGAAAATAACCACACTTTGGGAGTCTGTCACGCTCAGACCATTTGACAAATTCAAATTCTATATTCAACTATTGATGGTCCATGTGTTGAGACCATGTGGAGCGATTTTCAGACAAATTAGTGAAACGGCCACGGCTGGTTTGATGTTTGAGCGACGTGTACTTTTCAGAGATTTAACGATTTTCTCATAGACACAGACAGGGGAGTGTTCGTTGTCGCCACGGCAACAGGGTAAAAAATAATTATATGTTGTCATTGACCTTTTGAATCCAGTTGACAAAACAGAATTATGTGCAAAATTTAAAACAATTTGAAAAAACTAAATTTTATTAGGCCCATGTAAAACTTTGACATAGTCTGTAGGGGGCGCTAATGAGCCATTTTCAATATTTCCACTTTCAATTGAAAAATGTTGTGCAAATCCGACTTTTTTTGTGCAAACGGGAGCAAATTTACTTTTGTCAAAAATTGGGTAAAAAATGTCACATTTTGCCGCTCCGCTGCTCGGATAACGTTTATCCATCCATTTTCTTCCCCTTAATCCATTTCTGGGTCAGGGGGATGGCAGTCAGACCTGCACCCGGTCCACAGAGCACCAGCCCCTCACTGATCCTCCTGCAGGTGGTCAGTCCACAGGAGCTGAGATATTTCAATGGGAGCTTCAGGTAAAGTGGGGTTAAGTGTCTTGCCCAAGGACACAACGACAGTACACATCAGTGGGAGTCTTGAAGTAGGTCTTATGGTGGGCTCGAACCCACGACCTTCAGGCCCAAAGGCCAATGCTCTACCAACTGAGCTACTGTCGCCCCCGGATAATGCGGGGGCCCGTTATCCGGGGGCGACAGTAGCTCAGTTGGTAATGCCCAGGCATTACTGCACATTACTAAAAGCAATAGGCCCTTACCCCGGTTGGGGCTCGGGCCTAATAATAGCAATAGAGTGGTTAACACTCTCGCCTCTCCGCAAGAAGGTCCTGGGTTCGAATCCCGGTCGGAACAGGGCCTTTCTGAGTGGAGTTTGCATGTTCTCCCTGTGTCTGCTTAGGTTTCCTCAGGGTGCTCCGGTTTCCCCTACCACTAAAAACATGTACAATAGTTCTGACATGTGCCTCCTGTACTGGCCCCGCTCCCCTCTCTGTGTGGAGTGAGAGACAAATGCCCAATAATAACAATTGTAAACCGCTTTGTGACTCTGGTCTGTGAAAGGCGGTAAATAACTAAAGATTACATTACTTACTTACTTAATAAAGGTCAGAATGAGGTCAAAGGTACAATCTAAACTGGACACAGCCCTAACTCCCATTAGTCCAAACAAAACCATGGCACATCAAAGGGTTAACCACGCCGCAGAGAGACGCCCAGAGAAGCTCATGGTTGTTTTTAGCGTTCCTCATTCCTCTGCGATGACAGTCTTTATGACTCATTAGCGCCGAGTTTGTCTATTGTGCTGTTTCCAAACGCTCTGAAAACAGCCATCAGCGCCATCAGTGCCGCAGCGAGCCCAGAGAAATGCACGCCTTATTGGGCCAAAATGGGCCGTGAAGCCGGAAAGAGCAGGACAAAGTGGGAAATGGGAGACAGAAGAGCGGGCAAATTGAGCAAAGATGGAGGAATGGTGCACCTCGGAGTAGATCACATTAGCACGGAATGGACCGGCCCCAGACACCGGCCCGGATCGCACAAATGAGCCAGAACTGGGAAAGCAGAGACCGGACAGAGTCAAGTTTTTTGGTTTAGTTCAGGAATGTCAAAGTCAAACACATCAGAGGTCATAAAAACAGAACACACTGGTCCATCAAAGCCTCTGACCAAACACCCTCCATCACTCACTCACTACATTCAGACCTATTGTGCATGTTTTTAGTGGTAGGGGAAACCGGAGCACCCGGAGGAAACCTCTGCACACACAGGGAGAGTGTGAAAACTCATGAGGTGGGATGCAGGAAAGCCAAAATATAACGGTTTAATGATAATAAACTAAAAGTCAAAATCCAGAGGAACCAGGAACAGACATGGCCAATACAAAGGACCAGCAACAAGAAGAGAGGAGCACAGGTACATTTAGACACAGGTACATTTAGATACAGAGAGACACAAGTACATATAGACACACAGGTACATATAGACACAGGTACATATAGACACACAGAGACACAGGTACATATAGACACAGAGACACAGGTACATATAGACACAGAGACACACAGGTACATATAGACACAGAGAGACACAGGTACATATAGACACACAGAGACACAGGTACATATAGACACAGAGAGACACAGGTACATATAGACACAGAGAGACACAGAGACACACAGGTACATATAGACACAGAGAGACACAGGTACATATAGACACACAGAGACACAGGTACATATAGACACAGAGAGACACAGGTACATATAGACACAGAGAGACACAGGTACATATAGACACAGAGAGACACAGGTACATATAGACACAGAGACACAGGTACATATAGACACAGAGAGACACAGAGACACACAGGTACATATAGACACAGAGAGACACAGGTACATATAGACACACAGAGACACAGGTACATATAGACACAGAGAGACACAGGTACATATAGACACAGAGAGACACAGGTACATATAGACACAGAGAGACACAGGTACATATAGACACAGAGACACAGGTACATATAGACACAGAGAGACACAGGTACATATAGACACAGAGACACACAGGTACATATACTTTATTTATTTATTTTATTTATTTATTTATTTATTTAGAGGATAAGCCCCTTGAGATGAATCATCTCGTTTTCGAGGGGGTC